GGGGGAGGGGGAGGGAGACAGGAGCTCACACTGAAGCAAACATCTCTGGTCTGTTTATCAGAAGGGCTGGGGGTGGGATGGGATGGGCCGCATCTCACAGCAAGAGCACAATGTTACTCACCAAGAAGGAGCAGAAGAAGATGAAGGAGACAAAGTAAACGTAGGCCAGATCCGTGCCGCAGCGCTCGTTCTCGTTCTGCCCTGACGGTGCAGTGGTGTCAGGCTCACAGCCTTTCTCCCCGAGGCATGATAGCATAATCTCCTGCCAGGCCTCACCTGTGGCACTCCTGCGCCCAAAAGACATTTTGGTTAGCAGGAGCAGGTCTGCACACCCCACGGCATCCTGGTCCTCTTCCCCAGCGCGCCCATCCTTTCTCTCGCCCTAGCCCGACAGGCTCCCTCTGCCCGGCTGCCCCTGCAGTGCTTCCCAGCCAGGCGAAGAGTGCCAGTGGGACTCACTTGGGGGTCTCCGCTGCTGGCAGTGGAGACAGTGGTAGGACTGTCTAGGACCCCACGTAAACCTGGCCATCCGAGGTTTCAGGCCCTAAATGGAATTTGGTCTGCAAAAACTGTCCTCACTTACCGCTCCCAAAGCCCCGGAGGACATGCTGAAGTTGAAATTTGCAAATTAGCTACTGAGTTGAAAATATTGATAAAGCTTTTATCCATCCAAGTATTAACCAGGCCCAATCCTGCTTAGCTTCCAAGATCGGATGAGCTCAGGCATGTTCAGGGAGGTATGACCATAGGCAAGATGAAACTTTCTAATGTCAGGGGGGCAGTTTGGCAAGGGCACCGCCCCTCCCCCTCCCACCGGTGTCTCCTGATAGGAGCAAAGGAAGCAGAGTAAAGAGACAAAGGGCAAAGGGAGGAAGAGGCAGACCAGTTCTCTCCGCCCCTCAGGACAGCTGTAGCTGCAACAGTTATGCATCCAGGTACCTGAAGAGTAGCATTAGGGACCCAAAGAAACTCCGGAAGTTGTTGTGCCGGTTGATGTGACTCTCCTCATCTAATTTTATGTTTCCAAATACCTTGAGGAGAAAAACAACAGACAATAAGAAGCATTACCAAGCTGTGTGATATGTCCAGAACACGAGGGTTGGCAAAGCCACATGCATAGCTCTTCCTGACAGCCTGTCCCTGAAGCGGACAGCTCAAACCCAGAGAGCTGGTGGACACCAGGCTCGTGGCCTGACATGCAGAAGTCATTATTCTCCACTGCCCCAGTGCAGCGCAGCAGAGGGGACCAATGCCAGCAAGGTCCGAGCGTAACACAGAATGCAAGGTCTGCTGAAGTCGTTCTTCCTGCACACAGATCCTCCCACATCTAATGTGGTCTCTTTATTTCCATGGTACCTGTCACCACAGTACTCAAGTGGCCTGTCAAAGACATCATCCCACAGCAGGAGTGCAGGGAAAGAGTCACCCCTCTCTTCCTCTCTCAGGTAGTCATGATGGGAACATCCGAATTTGCAGAAGACATCATTTATGGCTTGGGCATATGCTGCCCTGGAATTTACAAGCAGTTTAGGTCAAAGAGGGGCACGTCTATTTTCCTTAGATATGTTTCTATCCAGAGAGTCAAATCTCGGAAGGTCTATATTTCATTAACCTAGAGTGCGTGAGAATGGACACACATACATCCACATGCGTATATACATCATCCAACAGACCCAAATCCCATCTAAAAGTGACCATTTGTGCAGTAGCTAAAACAAAGTCCAGGACAATAGGATGGAGAAAGTCAGGACACTGGATACTTGGAAAAGCAAAAAAGAAACTGACTTTTGCATTTCAGCATATTCTGGGCTACAGAGTGAGGTGCATTAATCTGCTGCTGGCCACTGGGCTTAGAATGTGGTCGCTGTGCCAATTTATGCGAAAAAAAGGGAAGACTCAGAGACCTTTATCCAAAGATAGTGAATAACGGTGACCTCTCAGACAGCGCCACCCAGAGCCAAGGCCAACCCCCCATCTCTTTGGAAGAGAAGGGCGCTCTTACATATGCATTCTCCTCCCCCAAACACACTAGACATCAGGATCTATTCTCACAAGTCAATGTTTGTACCACTGAGGGCTTACTGGGTCACTTTTCCAGCCATTTGAGACAATTTTCAGCCTACATTAAACGTGCTTCGGTTTATCCAATGTATGCTAAATGGAACACATTTTTTCCCCTAACAGTTTTATAATGTGCAATTGAGGAACAATCTCTGCCCCCAGCTATTTTGCTCAAGTAACTCCCACTGACACCTGCTTTGGGAATTTGTTCTCAACGCTGTTTTTCAAAACCCAAATACCACTTGTCTCTCAGGGAGAATGGAGGTGGCCAGCTAGGCAGCACGGGAAGACTGGGAAAAGGAGGAGAGGAAGGTAGAGGTCCCCAGAGAGACAAACAGTAGTGCTAAAAAAAAAAAAAAAAATCCCATCCAAGAAGTCAAATGTAATTAGCTCTGGATACTCCAGGAGGAGACTGTCATTCATCCTTGTCCTGTTCACCTCTCCTCCTCTCTTCTTTCTTTTCAACCTCTTGGGTCAGAATCTACGATTTAACCCTGATTCATCACATATATACAACTTACAGTGTTTCTTCTCTCCCCTTAACACTCCTGAAGCCATCATTAGTTGTCCTCATGATTTTCTCAAACACCCCACCCAGTCATGAACTAACTGGAAAGCACGCGGTGATTTGGCACAAGGTAGATGTGTCATAGTTAAAGAAATGAAAGCTGTTTTAAATCTTTTCTATGATAATTTTCAAGACAAATATGTGTATTTATTATGAAGGTCTTTAAAATTTCTTTTTCACTTTTTCTTCCCCAATGTTTTACTTAGTCCTTGTCACTAACCCAAATCTCCTACATCAAAAGGGTATGGCCAGGCGTGGTGGCTCACGCCTATGATCCTAGCACTTTGGGAGGCCAAGGCAGGAAGAACACTTGAGGCCAAGAGTTTGAGATCAGACTGAGCACAAGTGAGACCCGGTCTCTACAAAAAATAGAAAAATTAGCTGGGCATTGTGGCATGCGCCTGTAGTCCCAGCTACTTGGGAGGCTGAGGCAGGAGAATCGGTTGAGCCCAGGAGTCTGAGGTTGCAGTGACCTATGATGACACCACTGCACCCTAGCCTGGGCAACAGAGTGAGACTCTATCTCCAGAAAAAGAAAAAAAAAGAAAGAATATAGAAGAGAAAGAAGGGATGCTGAGACATTACAGTTACTGTGAAGACCACAATTTCATAACTGAACAGCTCCCATCTCCCATAAAGGGTCACAGAAATACCTGTGTTTGCTTGTCTGGTGGGATGAGAGGCAGTATAGAGTTAAGAGCATGGGCCGTGGAACAAACAGAGCTGAGCTTAAATCTCAGCTCTTCCACTTACTGAGAACTTAAGCACTTTCCAAGGTACTGAACTATACTATGTGTACACATCAATGGAGACAATGAAACTCTCCTGTAAACATTTCACATCGCTCCTGAAGACATTAGTCAAATATCTTGCATGTGCATCTCTCTCTCTCTCTTTCTCTCTCTCCATTTAGCAGTGTCTGGCACACCATGGAATTCAAGAAAAAGTAAATAGCATTATTATTGTCATGAATATCTGTAGTGTTATAATAGCAGCAGTCATTACTGGAGATGGTGTTATTCTAGTTTACCATGCTTAAAGA